ATAAATGCTACATATTGCATGGTCGATGAAATACGTAGATGAAGTAACGTCAAATACTGTACAAGGAGATTGGGTAAATTTACGGTTCTATTCATCCATCGCAAACGAAAATTTTCTGAAATTTTTTGAACATGTATTATCATGCATGTTTGTTGGATTGTTTTTGTTCTTTTCCTGAAAAACAAGATGCGTTCATCCCCAAACAAGGATATGATGTTCATTGGAATTTAATGAGTGAAACGTTTGTTACTTAAAACTAAATAGGATTTCTTTGACTGGATTTTAACAACCTGAAAACTAAGGGTACTTTTCTTATTGAATGCACCAAGTGCAAGTTCCATTTGTGCCACCAGATGCTTGTGTTTCTGCGCGCCGAAGTTTTCAGCAAGGATGCTTGAGTTTGATTTTCATCACCAATGTGCTTTGGCTCAAGATCTATTTTACAAAAATGCAAATATCTTTTAAATTAAGACCCGGAGGAATGTTTTATTTCAATTCAAAATTGCAGAAAACTTTGCAAACTGTACCTTAAGAGGTCGCCGAAATTGTAATCTTGATTTTTGAGGAAGTTATATAAGCTTCAAAATGCTGCGTCGTACTTTATGACATTCATTGATTTTTATCTTGGATTTTTTCCTGGTTTCCAGAACTTGTTTAGAGTTGAAAGCCCTGTGCATACTTTATGTTTGTTCATGTGTTGTATATAAACCCTGTGATATGTGAAAAGAGAATATCATTCTCATAAAAAACTTCTTTGGTGAACGTGGTCTTTTCTTTTTCTTTGTGCTCATGCCTTCTGCATTTTATTTGCTTGCAAGCTGCATAATTGCAGAACATTTCAGTTCCCTCAATTTTACAGTCTTGAAAAATATCACTCATTAAATGTAACAAAGATTGTGGGTAACAAAGATTTGTCCTATTTTTTTGGCTTATCTTATATTTTTCGAAGTGTAAGAGTGAAACACAAATCATCTGTGCACTGCGGATATGAGGTTTTTTTGGATTTCATGACATCAGTTTTTTCAGCACTATATTGCATGCCTATTCCTCATTTCTTTTAGATACAGCTGGAACTATTGCATGATTTTTCAGGAAAATAAAACTACGAACTCTCAGGAGCTACTTTGCGATCAGTCTGAAGATCAGAATCAGGTTGTCATTCACTCTCTTAATCATGCAAACAGTACCGTACTTAATGATCGATGCTAATTTATCACTTTTTTCTACACAGTAGTGTACAGTACTTGAATTTCTAAAGCTTTGCGTTTGCGGAAATTCAAAAATCAAACTGGAATTGCTTTATTTCTGGGAAAATTTTTGGAAGTTTCCGTTTGTTACCATTTTATCTTATCTAGCATTGCATCTGCCACTATCAAACATTTACAGCACGCTTCACTTTGTGGGATGCTCCTCTAGAAGTCTAGATCCCAATTTTTCAATGCTTTTTGTTTTACCCCCATTAAAAAGCCCAATGCTTACAAATCACAGGGAAGGTGCATAAAATGACCGCCTTCTAACCTTGGTATGGGCCTTCCCTTTCTTCAACTAACTTTACAACTTTGTCCCTAACAATTCTTTTAGCAAAAGAATGTTCACTATTTTTTTTCAAATTCGACCTTACCATACTGTACTTCATTTTTCAATGAATAACAAGCGTCTTTCCGCCCACAGCTGTTGAAAAAATTGATTTTAAATATTTTAGTCTAGGGTTAAAAAATTTTCACATTTGATCTTTTCATCGGGTTTAATTCCGTGTACGAGTATCATTTGGCAAGGGAAGTGTACCATGTACCATCGTAGTGGAAGGCGTACCAGAGGTTGAAAACACCCCAGCCTTGATGCATTTTTCCGCAACCGACAAAAGCATGTTTTGCGGACCAATCCCCGGGATACGGTACTGGGCCGCATAGATTATACTCTTAAATGCCTTTTGAAGGTGGACAGGTGATATCGTTACAACGGACCCGTGATGGAATAATGATCGTCGCCAAGGATGACTGACTGTCCGCATATCATCGTCTCTATAATGAATGCCGGTCAGGGCGGAAATTCTGAGCAGCGTTCTTGTTTCGGGATCGGACATCCGAGCTTAGATGCGACGGGGTAACCCCGTCGCCGTGTCTTCCGCGGAAAACACCGGCGCATCTCGAGCGAGAACATTCCGGGGATCGTGGACGAGCACCCAGGCGGAAAAGTTCAGGAATATCACGGAATCCTGTCGTCCTCCGGCGTCAAAATCATCTGGATATTTCACGGTCTTGCATTAGAAGCTTTGCAGCCTTCGAAAACTCAGTTAAAAAATCAGTTCGGAAAATCAGGAATACGGAGCATGCATAAAAGGCCGGGGATCCTACATTAAAAATACAGTATGTTTATCTGCGAAATAGGGCTTCCAGCAAGTCAGACGAAGTGGCTTTTTCAAATTTTGTTCCTCCGTTTCCTCGCTCCAATAGTGCGAAGTCTGACCACTTGTCAAATTCATGAAAATTCATCAACTTATTCGTTACTTCGAATACTTTAGTAATTTTAACAAGGGGATTATTTCTTGCTGTAGAAAGAAACAAAACTTGAGTGAATTTATATTCTAGCTTGTGACATCTATGTGCGGATGGAAATAATGCTCAGTGAAACTCTACCGAACACTAGCTGGTGGTCATTTCTCATGGCGCTTGATACAGTATTCCCCCATGCAGAATGTTGTTCCCGATTTTTTGGGTTTGATTTTTTTGAATTTTTGAAAACATAACAAAAACCCAACGCTCAAATGATTCTTCTAGCGGAGAAAAGGAAACAAAGATTATACTCAAACTATACTTCAGAACCGAAAATGTTTTCCTGCTATCGATCGATTCATCAAACACTCCAGGTTTGACGTATCACCGTAAGCTTTCAAGCGAATGTGTCCCTGCATGGATGATAAAGCGTCATGTCACACGAGAAAAACTGTAAACATCCGTTCGGTGAATATCTGTTTCGCTTGTCGACAGAGCTGACGGTGACATTCTGTCAGTAGCACAGCACGCAACGAAGAAATCCGCGTGTTTCAGATTTTCTTCGTGAGTTTATTTCAAGGAACGAAGTGTCTATCGCAAGTGAACAGTACCAAAAGGATTACCGACAAAATGTTGGCATTATTGTCGAACTTGATGACTATGCATCAATGTTTTATAAGAGTGTCCGCAAAGGAACTCCGGAGTTCTAAACGGAATCGTGAGATTTGTGACTCACTTTGACTAACTGATTTTTTTTCTTCCCTGCTCTCATGCAGAAATGGTAAAAGGGACTTTTGGATGAGCATCAACCACGCAAGTAGCCCTCATACTAAAAATGTTCCAAGACCTCTCCTATTATGAACCCAATCGCGAGCATCAGCCAGAAATATTAACACGAAAAATGTAGGAATGCTTGCGACTGCAGGTAAATTGAATTTCGATGCATGCTGCACAGCAAAAACGGATGATGCTAATATACTTTTTCAGGAGTCACGGGGTTTTATCTCACTTGTACATATTGGAGACCAAATGGTGTCTTACACGTAGTGAATCACTTCGTATTCCATTAAATTCTGTATGTATCTTCTTAAGTTCTTCTTGAAGAAGAAAATCGTTGGATGATATGTAGAGCCATTCATTTTGGGAGAAATTTTTCCAATGGAATGCGGAAAAGCTGTCTCACTGAATATATCATGTTTCACTGTAAATTCAAGTTTTACTGTACACTTCTGCTGGGGTATCCTACCTTTGAAAAGAAAGTATCAACGTAGGTGGTAGACCAGATTTTGAAGCAAATAAATTTAATACATCACAGAAGCCATGATAATGAAAAATATGTGTTCCAAGGCAGTTAAATCTGCGGAAGTTTATTGCTAAGAAGTCATTGGGTTTTTATGGTCTTTTAGGAGAACGTTTCCTGCTGAAAATGTCCTCCTTGTCTTATTGGCTCAGGAACAAGACTATTCAAGCAAGAATACTGTGGACTGTAAAACGTATTCCTGGTTAATCGTTTTTTTTTAGATCATACATTCTTTTTACACTAATCGCCCCAATTTTAAAATATACAGAGTAATTTTGACATGCCCGAATAATAGTCTCAATCATTTACTTTTAGCACTTCAGCCAGCATTATTTAATTGACTTTGTAACTTTAAATTACAGTACTAAATCGGAAAACGATTGTAGTTATCAATTTTTTATCGGAGAAATGCCTGAAATATTGACTGGCCCTCTTTTCTTACATACAATTCACTATAATCAAATGAAACTTTGGCAAACAGATGCTGTCAAAATTAAAATGAGAATTATCGGTTGTATATGCTGAGATTTCTGACTGAACAGTTGAACAAGTGAATGATTAAGAAATAAATGCAAAAGCAATTAATGTACGTCTTTGACAGATACTGTATACCTATACGAAATTCCGCGCAAATTTTACGTATACAGTATGGATAAAATTAAATTGTAAAATGCACGTCATCATATACAGTACTTTTCTTCACTACATGTAAACGGCAGCAGAGGCGGAAGAGGAATTTTCTTTCGTTGGTGCATCATTCTGTCTCAGGGATGGCGTTTTTCTTTGAAAACCGTTCATAGTAGAAAATTGTTTTGAAAACTTACGCCTGAAAATTGAAAAATAAGCATTAAAACGATCTAGTAGGAAGCGACATCTACATAATATATTGTAATATGCAGGGTGCAGTGTGTGTGGGCATTTGTCGTGTCTGGTTGTGCGCTGCATGTCGATTCGGCGGAGAGAAAGGAGCTTTGTCGGAAAATGTATAGGATAGAGGGCAGTAGGAGTGAAACATGGCCGCGCGCATGGCGAATGTCGTGATGTTCCGCCTGGATCGCTCATCTGCTTAAGCACCGATTTTTGAACCATCAGACTTCGCCGATTGTGAAATATACGAGTATTTTCTGGCTATCTCAGATTTTTGAATGTGATCTGTTGAAATTATACTCTGATCATCGGTTTGATTGCTGTGGGCCTATTTCTCTTCCAGAGTTTTACTCTTCTAATTGTGTGAAGTTGTTTCGTTCGGTGTATCTTATATGATTCGGACATTATCCAAGAACGATATATTTTTGTTTTGTTTCTTTCATCATTCATTTTGATTGCTTTGGAAACTGCTCCCAATTTATCTGAATTCGCTGAATTTGCATGAAAATGGCCGACACGGAAAAGAATGGAATAAGAGATCCGAATGACTTCATTGGAGAGATCAGCGAAAGTCGACACAAGAATGACGACTCGGCGTGGAGGGTGAGTACAGTTCGGCTTGCCTGTTCTTCTTTAGACATGGTCATGTAGCGATTATTCCTTCATTAGCTTGTAGCGAAAATCCGGAAATACTTCGGACAGACCCGCATCTTTTGAATATTTCTGGTTTTTTCCAGCATTACATCTCAAACATGGTAGTGACTCATCATGGAATCTCTACCCTTGCAAATACTCATCTCTCTGAAATTTGGTTTTGTGAGCTGAAGCGTTTCGCAGAATGAATTAACAACGAAAATGTAACTGGCTTCGGCATTTTTTCTAGACTATCGAGTCCCTCGCTTGTACCATCTGATCTCAGTAAGGGTACACTCAATCGAATTTCTAAATCGATGAATTGAGAAGTATGGCTTTTCCGTCAGTTGTACTCCTGATACGCGGAAGAGCTGATCTCTAGACCCTGCTTCTCTTCTATTATTTTGATCGCGGATGCTAGAGATGCCATTGTGCTGCTGATATCGGCGCATTGCATTTGTACCACTTCTGCTGAGGTCATGGGGAAGTGCTTGTGAACTGCGAGATCCTCACGTTCACGTGCGGTATGTGAAAATGGGTTGGGTTACGATCTATGGATACGTGAATCCATTTGAGATTTCTCGGTTGAAGCATCAAAGTGTGCAAAGTGCGATCATCAGTAAGCAGGGTATTTCCATCGGTAGATTTTTTTAAATCTCTGTGTTGGGCTTATGAATGAGCCGGACATGATACATGAGAACGAATTATGAGTGCAAAACAGTTGAAGTAAATTATGACAGCGACATAAGGAGTTGATCAAGAAGGCGAGGACGTGTACTTTGATTGAGGGCACAAATTACCCGATTCCTGGGAAGTTCAGTGTGAATCGCTATGTTGTGCATGCGTGTGTTAAAAATGTGATATACTGGACTGTAGGTAAGATGTACTGTTTTCTAATTTATAGGCATATATCTTAACATGGTCAAGTAACCTAACACCCAAGTGATGGTTACTAAAAACTGACGACTCCTGAAAGTTGTGAAATCCAAAAGGAAGGTTAAAACCTAGTCTCGAACGAAATGCGCCTGAATGAGCAAGCCGCAAGGAGCGCTCAAGTGATGGTGGAGGTTACGCTTGATTTCCTGGTGTGATGAAGCCTTTTCACTTCTTATAACTTTTTTGTAACACCGAATTAGGTATAGATAAGATGCAGGCGGTATCTGAAAAATTAGTGATAGAATGTGCTTTTTGTGCATGGAGTAGGGAATCAGTACCAATAAAAACTCGCTAGAACGGAAATTTTCTTCGATTTTGTTCAAGGATTTAGGGTGCTTGGGATTCACGTGTTGCTCAGATCTTGTGGTCTGAACATTCTGATCTGCGGTTATTTTAATATGATAAGCTCATGTTGTGGAGATTTTTTTAATACAGTAGTTTATCATGTAATATGTAGAATGCCTGGGAAGAGAAAGAAGGCATCTTCTGCCTGTCAGTGCCTTGTGAGATTCAAACCAAGGATCGGTTAGGGGTAGGGAATTTTACAATAACTATCCAATGACCGAATCTTCAGGATTGTTTGCAGATTTTTAGATATTGCAATTTTTCTAACTGAAATAATGCTTGTCGCTCAGTTGTGAAACGCGGGTGATCCGAGGATGTTACGGCTCACCGGATTTGGGCTAGTTAAATTCAAATCACAGAATCCTGATATCTGAATGATGTTGCAGAAATTGAGACGACCGAGAAGTAAGTCAGGCCTGTGCGTGTTCGAGTGGGGGTTCTCATCGTCCGCGAACGGATCAGGAGTTGAGTTTCGAATATCTCGCAATGCTCTTGATCAGAAAGCCTCGAATGTCATTCGATGTTCGGGAAGTCCTCGATTCGCCGGATGCAGAAATTTTTTGTTATACCGAATTATAAATCCCTGGGGCAAATTTAACCATGAAGCAAAATCAAAACCTTACGTATCCGATTGATATTTGTTTTTGTTGACTAGCCGTGCTGGTCGTCAGCTGAAGTATCTTTTTTTTTGTGCGTATACAGACTGTGATTACTAATGCACGCAACCCATTTTTTTTTTCTTACCAAGATCTCGATGGGGAAAATTTTTCGGCCTAAAAGGAACTGGAACATTTTCGGGATCATAGTACCTGTTCACAGACGTAACTGAGAGTTTGTTGGCAAGAAAAAATAAGCTTCGGGCGAAACTGAGTAGTTGTGGACAAGGGAAAAGAAGCTTCAGACAACCGTGTTGAAGGATAACTTGGATAATCTGGAACCGATGCTTTTAATCCCACAGAAGTGCCTGGTAAAATTTTGTTGATAGCAAAACAGCAATACTGTACACGAGATTTCAGGTCATTTTTTGGGTAATTAGTTTGCACGTTAATACGGTTATCTTCGCTGCTACTGATGTTGCTACCGGAAGTTTTTGTCTTCCTTTTTGATTCGCTAATCTAACTTCTATGCGGCGAAGTAGAATGTGGACTGCTTTTCAGGAGCGAGGGAGTCAGGAATGACCTGCATGCTGAAGTATTTTCCGCAAACCGCGTGGAGAGTTGCGTGTATTGTACTGTATTCTATGCGTTGCAACAGTGCTTCGAGAATTCTTCGCCGATTCCAGTTGCCGGATTTTCCTGGTGTTAACTGCGCCGACGGCGGGCGCAACTAGTGCCCGCCCGATTCACGCCAACTGTGCGCTTGCTTATCCCTGGAGAAGCGGGCCGGGTCCGTTGCGCCTCCAATGAGGCGATAAAATAAAGAGGCGTTCTGATGTCTGCCTGCATTCGTGCTTTGTAAGTTCCTCGCTTCATTTTCCGGAAAGCTGATTCCGCTCCCTTCCATCCTCCGCGGAAGTTCATGTTGCATCTTCCTCAAACTCAACTTTCCTTTTACCTTACGTAGAAATATCGGTGGAGATGCGAGGGTTGTCGGATTTCCGCGCTTATTGAAGTTCGAGTACGGTTAAGCCGTAAACTTGCGTACAGTACTTCAAAATCTCCAGAATGATAAATGAACGGATGAAGGAAAACAACGATTTTGTTCATAATGCTCACCGAGACATACTGTCCCCCAGATTTTACTAACCTCGTGGAAGCGAGAGAAATGGCAGCCAATCTTGCTCTTATTTCCTTCTCCTGCTGTTTCCATGCGTGACTGCAGAGTGATGATTTTCACGATACAGGACTGTACTTTTCGAAGTGTGGGTGCTACTTAGTGTCCAATAAGAACGTAGCTACGTATTCTGCAGTGATGTCCTTATCTGCTGAAGCAGAGAAGTTGTGAATAAATCATGCAAAATATGAAATAAATTTTGCGGACCTTGCCCTCACTCCACGCTGAAACCGGACACCCCTCGCACTGTCTCCGGAGATTTGTGTTGTGCATCGTCGTGCTGTCTACTTCCGTGAGTCAGGCATCGTCCAGATTAGTCTCGTGTGTGAACATTTTTTTTTTTAACGTTGAGATTCAGTTTTCAACTCTTTCAAACATATGGTAAGACCCTTCTGAAGTTACTGGAATATTAAAAAAAAAATTATCATGCTTATGTTGAGGAGTGATTCCCCGTAACTTATTTATCGTCTGCGGCGTCGTCATGCTGTTCGTTTGGCGTGGCCTTTACGGCGACGATGTCTATCGAATTTATTATTCAAAAGCTGCCTTGCACGGGGATGTGTCTTGAAAAATGTGTGTCTCGAGTTTGAAGGTACATATTGCACAATGCAATGTCTCAATAATAGAAGCAACTGTCGAGATCTTGCAGCAATTGCTCGTACCAATGTCTCGAAAAGTTTCCATGGATTTCGATTGTAACGTGGTATTGGATGCGGTATTCTTTGAAACTGACGCAAGGCGAACATATGGGAGAAGCGTATGTCGTAACCAAGATTTCTGAATGGCGTGCGTGTGCGTTATTTGATGTCCAAATGTGAGGACAACGTGGGATTCGAAAAAAGTTTGCGACTTGATTCAGATAACTGCAATCATATGAAAACTTAACGTTGATTCGTGCTTATCCTTGGCTGCATTAACTTGGTTACAAGCCGTATCCCGATTTTTCGCGGTGTTAAAAAAATTTTTTTTTCTCTGAAAAAATTGAGGAATAAAAAAATGCAGTTCCTCCATCAGCAAAAACCTGTTATGTGCATGAAAGCACTCTCTTTTTTACGGATGTTCTGACTATCTAGAATGGGTGCGACGGATTTGCGAATACAATATCTGGAGCGCGGGTCACACACGAGCCTGAGGGCGCACTCTACAGGAAAATAAGTGCTGCTTCTGGAGTATTCGATTTTAACTCTTGATTATTCTGCACGAGCGTTAAAAAAAATCAGAAGCAAAGGTTATCGATGAAGTATTTTCATCGGAATTGGATGCGTTTTTTCCTCTAGCTCTAATGTGTACAAAAGTTCTCCTTCAAGTAAGTACGGATCGATCGCTAACTTCTGTCCTGCCCTGTGTAGTTCGGCTTGCATGTGATAGCGCGTTTTTTTCTCATCGTGAGAGCGTTTCCGTTGCCTGTTTTTTCCTTCCGGAAATTCCGTTGCATGATCTAGGCGCTAGTATCTGGTCCTTGTTCATCTAAGAATTTTCCCCCGTCATGTTCTCGAGTGTGTCCGGAGATCATGTCGCGGAAAAATGTAGCATTCAAAGCGCTTTCATCGTTTACTGAAGTGCATGGCTTTCGTTTCGATTCACGTTGAAACTTATTTATTTTTCGCTGTTGGTTCCTGAGTTTTTACCTGCGTTGTCTCTCGTTTTGATTTTGTTTGCTGAAGAGCAAGCGTGATACGCGAGAGAACGAACGGTGTGTCGCATTCCACACGATTCTCGTTATCTGTCGCGAGATTTGCTTCCGGGAGGCCATCCATATGCCCATTGCGGTTATGCTGGTTTCAGTTTTGCTGCTGTGTGGAATTTTATTGTGAGCCTTTGGTCGGTGTGATTGCTTGCTTCGTCTGCTCGTGTTTTCTGCGCCGAAATGGAAAGTTTGTCAGGTCCAGCGAAGGAACCCATTCGTCGAAGGAGTATCATTGATCCTCTGCCTGAAATCCTCTACCCGGTATGTTTTGTTTTCATATCTCGTCTTCTGAAAATTTCGAATTTCTCGTCGTTTTTCAATGTCATGACTGGACAGTTGGATGCGTTTTTGAAGAAATGGTGCCTGTAAAAATTAAGTTTACAAGGCTGTACAAGTACTGTACGAAACAGTACATCTGCTGAACAATTTCTGAGTGTGGGAAGTGGATGCATCAGGTTAATAATCTTG